AAGCCAAAGGGTGAGAGTCCACCACCCCCTTTTTCTGTAGCCCCCCAAGTCCTTCCCTGATGGGCCTCATCATGACCATGCCTGTCTTAGGTTGTTCCTCCAGTGAGGAATCTTACCTGTCATTGGCTAACCAGTCATCATCCCAGGGCCAAGCAGAGCGAAGCAAAAGGGGGCAGAGGCGGAGCAAAGGAGATAAGCTTTGTCTCCTTAGTGGCTGATGGTCTTAAGGTCTCTTACTCAGCTTTAGCCTTCAGAGGGGTTACAGCTTCTGAAACCAGGCAGGACAGTTCCCAACAATGGAATGCTACTTGGCCATAAAAAGAAGGAAATCTTACCTTTTGCCACAGCATGGATGGACCTAAAGAGTATTATGCGAAGTGAAATAAGCCAGTTAGAGAGAGACAAATATATGATTTTAATTATGTGTGGAATCTAATGTACAAAATTAACTAACAAAATAGAAACAGAAGCATGGATACCTGGAACCAACTGACAACATTCAGAGGGGAGGGGGTTGGGGGGCTGGGTGAAAAATGTAAAGGGATTAAGCCAAAAACCCCAGAAAACCTCATAGACATAGGCACCAGAGGGAAAGGGGGGTGAGAGGAGATAAAGGAGGGGAATAAGTGGTGACAGGAGGAGACTTATTTGAATTGGAGTGGTGAACACACAATACAATATACATAAGATGTATTTTATAGGTTTCAGGCATACAATAATTTTTATTAACCAATATCACTCCAATGAATTCAATAAAAATTTTTAAATCAAAAACAAGTCTAGAGATAAAGCACATTTTCATTACATAGTTCTCTGTACCTGTCGTATGTATTTTTTATGGTTGAGATAAGGGGGCATTTTGGAATAGACAGCTTCTCAACTTATTTAACAAAATCCAAACCATGTTTTCCCATAGGAAATGAGAAATGGAATAATCTAGCAGTTGATATAAAATGATTAATTCATGATTTTGCTGGTTATTTTCCCACTCCCTTATTCAGTCTCACCACTGTGCCAGTCACGTGCAAGGGACAGAAATGGATGTCCCGCAGACAAGACTGTATGGCTGTGTTCAGACACTACAGTGTTGTCAGAGACAGGACTGAAGTCCTGCAGGAAAGTCATTTTCTCCCCATGGTGCAGGCATAGAATCTAAAAATGTTTCAATGTGGTTCTGCTTTACTGAAGGGTAGTTTCCACAGAAGACACCTGATTTCTATTTCATGACTTACAATGTGGCTACAGAGCATTCACTATCAGCACTGCCCTGGTAGACATTTGTTTCAGGGGAATCTTCATGCTGCTTCTTCTGCCCGGATCCGGCCCAGCGAGGCTTACCTGTGAGAACTGGCTGGGTGCCCTGCTGTCACCATCTGCCATAGCCGTTCAGAGCCTTCCTGCCCACTATAACAAGTAACCTTTCAGTGTTAGTGGATGGCATTTGCTGAATGTTCTTGTTTCCTATCGTGTGGGATGTGAGTGAGCGTGTGACCTGTACCCCAATAGACATCCTCAGGGAATAAACCCTTTAAGATTCACAGATACTGTCTGTAAAACAGATGAAAATGCTTTATGCAATACCATTTGCCATCCTTTTCCTCCCTGGCAGCATTCTGACTAATCTTTTTCACGAATTGCTGTATCTCATCAGCTTCCTGCTGCTGGCCTGGCGTTGCTGCCATACATTCCTCCATCAAACAGGTAGCAGATACAATGTGTGCCTTCCAAGAAAATAGGCCAAGAACAACTTCTATCCTTTGTCTTCTATTAAATGTCTTGTTTCAAAAGCATTCAATCTTAGTCTGGAAATTTTAACTGTATAGCCTCGATCACCTGCCCAGTCCCCACATGACTGCACCATGTTGGAGTCATTCCCAGCTAGATGCAAGGCTTAAGTTAGGGCCACCATGAGTCAGCATATTTTTGACATGCTTTCATATGCATATAACTAGATACATTAGAATCTGGAGCATTTGTTAAACCTCAAGATTTCTAGGCTTTGCTTTATCCTCATTAAATCAAAGTCTTCGGGACTCACACACCAGGTGCCTCTCACAGGCAGCAGCTGTGGAAGCACTGCTGCGGCGTAGTGTGCTCCCTTACCCAGCTATTTTTGATACATAATAAAGAGCAGAGTTTCTTAGTCTGACAGCGAGTGCCAGAGTGTACATCCAACCTTCTAGTAAATCCTTTGCACTCCGTAGACTCTGAATTTTATCAAAGTCCCTAGAGATAAATCTGAATGAATGTGCCTGAAAACTGCATTGTAGGAGAGGGACTACAGTGATCATATAAGAAACGCCTTTTCTAACACATACAGAATAGAAAAACTGTCCAAAGAAGCAACACATCAGATTTCTGTAGATCTGAGGGAGTGATTAGACTAGTCATTGGGAGTCAGTAAACAATGAATACATTCAGTGGAGTCCAAAAGAGGGCTTCATACATCCATTACTACGTATTCCTCCAGTGGTCAGACATTCCCCACTTTGCCTATTAATGAGACTGTAAGTTTAAAAATAATGGAAAATGTGCTTTGTGTTCAAGGGTTACGGCTTTGTGCTGTCTTTCCAGAAAACTAAAGTATATTCCTTTAAGTGCTGACTTTAAAACATAATTGTTTTCCTTGGACCCAGGATTACTGAATTACCTGTTTGCCCCAAATCATCAGTTTCTTGTAGCCGTGTTTCCTCAGTCTCCTTGCTGTCAGCTGTCACTTTGTCAGCAGCTGTTTTGACAAAGGAGGGGTTCTGTAGGGGCCTGTCCATGGAATACCGGGGTGAGTGACCTTAATGGGTTCTAAACAATAGGGCCAGCCTGCAACCGAAACATAGCCCTGGGGGTGCTATGTCCCTGTCTCAGCACCAGGAGCAAATTTGGAAAAGACATCACCTTTTGAATAACTGCAGTTTGTCATTTTTCTTCATTCATGTGAGGGGCATTTCTCTGTGCTGATGATTCATACTGCTGTTGTGGATGGAGGATTTAAAAGAAAATGGTCTGCTTTTTAAAAGAGGGTGTTTATACTGGGTTTAAAGGAAATCTCCATTACTGACATGTGATTGTGACCTCTTTGGGAAATTTTAACTGCCAAGGATGGATTTGTCTTCTGGAGGATGAAAAGTAGAATAATGCTATTATGTTTTTGGCCCTGTATACAACCCATAATTGTGGGTCCTTAGGAATTCTCATTTGTGGGCTTAAAATACTACATTGTACACTGCATTCTGTTTTATCTTAAGGATACATGGGAGCTATGTGACATTTGGTTTTTCACCTGTTACAGTAAAGTGAGGGTAACGACTGCTTCCTAAGATTTTGGTGAGGCGTGGAATTTTAGAAAATGCCTTGTGTAATAAATAGCAGTCTCCTAAGAATAAGTTATTACTCAGTTCCGAGGGGAGAGCAAACAAAAGTATAAGGAGGCAGTATATTTTTAACAATTCAGGATAATTGTTTTTCAGCCCCTTGGGGGTTGGGGGGCTGGAAGGAAAGTGCACGTTAGGATGCTGTGGAGTGGATGGACAAGAGCTGGTCAAGTCCTGTGAGTAAGTTTGTGGGGCGATTTCTCCCTTGTGTACAGGAGAGATGACATTGTCAGCTCCTGCCTATGTGCAGAGCAGACCAGCTGTACTGTGTGACCTTGACTTCGCCTCCTAACATGAGAAGTGGCTGATGAGTGGAGTGGTGGCCAGAGGATGTGCATGACCTGGTTCTAGGGGAGGGGCTGAGAGGTGAAGTCCCCAGTAGGAGGGCAACACCTTGGGGTGCAGTCCCTGAGAGCCCTAGCGATGTCGCCTGCCCAGACCACTGATCTCCTTAAACATTCAGGGCTGGTACCATCTGGTGCTGCACTTCGTGTTTGACTCCTCAGCCTACCAGCCAGCCCCCATACAAAGTAACAATGCACCAGGGAACCTTCTTTACCTGAAAGCTTTTACACTGTTAAAAAAATATATAGGATTTTATAAACAGTCCTGAGACCTGAGAGCCAAAGACGTTGATGCCTGCGGTGCAAATCCACACAGGAAAGAACTGCGTGTGAGTTATTTTGTACCGAAGACCTAAACCACAGACATTGTTCCTAACTAGGAACTTGAAATGATCGTTTGAAGGAGGATCACTAAAAATATGTTATCTTCAGGTTTGTTTCATACAGTGTAGATAATATATTAAATATTAAACACACGAGTCAACATCATTGATAAGAGTTTATAACTTGTATTTTATTATGCCACCTCATTTGAATATGCAGATAGTCACAGAGTACTCAGCAGGGCTCTGTCAACACAAATCTGCCTCAGTGTTCTGCAAGCAGGCACAACCAGGACAGTTATTAGAGAAGTCACAACAGCTTCACTTTTATAGCATTCAAAATAGTATACATACCCCGGCTGGTGTGGCTCAGTGGATTGAGTGCCAGCTTGCAAACCGAAAAGGTCACTGGTTCGATTCCCAATCACGGCACATGCCTGGGTTGCCAGCCACCCAGTCGAGGGTGTGCAAAAGGCAACCACACATTGATGTTTCTCTCTCTTTCTCCCTCCCTTCCCCTCTCTCTCAGAAAAATAAATAACTTAAAATAAAAAATAGTATAAGTAACCATATATATTAACATAAAAACACTTCTTCAACAACAAGTAGTCTTTTTATCCTGGGGAATGAAATATGCTTGTGCTTAGTCAATCCTCATAAGTGTATCTAGAAGAAAAAGAAGAGAGAGGCTGAGCTGATTTACTGTATATTTTTGCTGAGTCCTCACTTAACATCATGGGTAGATTCTTTGACTTTAAGTGAAACAGCATAACAAAACCAGTTTTACCACAGGCTAGTTTTGTAAGCAAGGGTTAGTTAAGTTCTTAGGGCATCTCATCAGCCTTATCTCAAAATGACATAGAATGAAAGGACCCGCTTTCATTGGAGGAACTGTTTAATGAACAATGCTTTATACCTTATTCTTATGTTATCACCATCCTTTCTGTTGTCACTTTTCCCCCCAGGCCCAGATTATATCAAACAGAGATTTCAGGAAGGGGTAGATGCTAAAGAAAATCCAGAAGAAAAGGTACCAGAAAAGCCACCTACACCAAAGGAATCTCCTCATTTTTATCGAAAAGGTACGACACCCCCAAGGTCTCCTGAGACAAGTCCCAAACAAAGGCACTCTCCCCAGCCGTCCCCACAGCCTGCAAGGAAGCAGAACCCCAGCCCAGGGGCCAGACTCAACCTAGACATACGGAATGTGGCTGATGAGCAGGTGACGGCAGTCATCAACAAACCCTTGATGTCAAAGGCTCCCTCAAAGGAGATGGGAGCCATCGTGCCCCAGTCCAAGTACTCTGGCCGCCACCACGTCCCCAACCCCAGTAATGGGGAGCTACATTCTCAGTACCATGGCTATTATGTGAAACTGAACGCTCCCAAGCACCCTCCAGAAGACGTGCAGGAGGACGAAGGACCCAGCCACTCTTCCTCAGTGCTGGTGCACAAGCCGTCACCCAACAAGTGGGGTCCCCCTAAATCTGTGACAAAACCAGTTGCCAAAGAAAGCAAAGCTGAGCCAAAAGCCAAGAAGTCTGAACTTGCTATACCAAAGAATCCAGCGAGCAACAATTCGTGCCCTTCTTTGGAAAAAGAAGCCAATTCGGTAAGTTGACTAAGATGAGTTTTCTCTTCCTTACCTCACTCTGGTTCTTTCAGGTAGCATCATGGGGTGACTTGCACCCTGATGACAGCTAGGCTTGCAAAAGTCCTGACACCAGGAGGCTGCTTGGAGCAAGTCTGAGCACATTTGTACCTGGAGACAGGAAAGAGCTCTCCAAGCAGGAATGCCACCATGGTCACTCAGCCAGCCAGCCACCCACCCACCTTAAACATCATTCAGCTTGGACGGTGTCGTGGTCTAGCAAGCCTTTCCCAGCACTTCCTGGTAGCTTAGTTCGGGCAGCTATAACAAAAGTACCATAGATTGGATGGCTTTCTAAGCCACATGGTAAGAAAACAACACATTGATTTCTTGCCATTCTGAAGACTGGGGAGTTCCAAGATCCAGGCACCAGGAGATTTGGTCTCCAGTGAGGGTCCACCTCATGGTTCATAGACCGTAGGCCCTTTTCTCACTGTGTCCTCATGCAGCTGAGAGAGAGAAAGTGAGTTCTCTGTGCCACTCATTAACCCATTATGACAGCCCTCATAACCTAATTACCTCACAAAGACCCCATCTCCAAATATGCAACATTAGAGATTAGGGTTTCAACATCTGGAGGCACATAAACATGGGGGCCATAATGACAGCTAACTAACTCCCTGGGGGCTTTGAGGGAATCACAGCAACTGTCAGAGCCCGAGCTAGGAAGAGGGCTCCACCATCATTTTCTCAGTTCTTAGCCCACCTTTTGACTCCCCAGAAGAGTCAACACCCTTAGACAAAAGTACATCTTTTCTAGCTATTATGAATTATCCTCATAAATATTTAGTTTGGATTTTACTTTAAACCAGGCTTTGCAGCTAGAATATTTTTCCTTTCCATATGCAAACTAAAAGTATACCTTGGTCTTCTAACCCCTCAGAGTGTTAGTGCTCCTAAAATTCCAGATTTCTGGTAGATGCTGATTTTAATAAATCTTGAGCATTTAAGGTTAATGCTCACTTAATGCTTGAGCATTAAGCATTCAACCAGAAAGCTTTCAGTTATTGATAAGTGAGATTTATTTGTTAATGATATATGGAATTCATATTTTATCAAGCTTTGTTGAATTTATAAAAATCTAAAGCTGAGTAATTTTGGATAAACCATTGACTAGCCTATCCATATGCCTTTGGAACAGAAGTGTTGCATGTTTATCCTAGCTTAGGGAGGAAGCCACAGCCAACCCAATATTTACTAGTAATTTCAGACATGTTTACATAAAGGTGTGTGTTAGTATCTTTGTCAACAAGACTATAATACAATCATCAGTTACTTTTGGTCTCCTTAATTTCCTCACAGGGTTAAACAATTGAAATTCATCTTTTTAATTAAATTATGTTTGAAATTTCTCAGGTTTGTTGACTTTGCTAATATCTGTAAACACTGGTTCCCACCCTTTATTTCAAATTCTAATCCTTTCAATTATCTAAATATACATTAATCAGATCAACTGGATTAGCTTTCTGAGTCAACCCCATGGGATAGATGGTTTTCAAAACAGAGTAACTTCGAGACTCTGGCTGTTCAGTAAGCATTCATTGTTTTCTTTTTAGTTTTAACACTGATACTTCAGTATCCTGATATTATACCTGTTACATATATTATCACTGTTGAAGTTGTTAAATGTAATAATTCACTTCTCATTTGCCTTTCAGCATTTGTATTCACAGATTAATAAAGCCTTACATTTATATTAATATTAGTTTGCCCAACTTACAAGGTGGAAGTTCAAACAATACAAGCCCTATAATTTATAGTTTGGGGTTCAGTTGACTTCTGAAACTGCCCACAGGGAAGCATATGCCCAGTGTCCTACAATTAGATGAGTTACCTCCCTCTTCACTCTAACAGTTTTCTATAAACTTCATAGTTTCCTTCTTTATAAAAAAACATCTGTGTCACTGATGTGCAGAATTGTGTGATTCTGGGAGTGAAGCCAAGCATCTCCCAACTCACTAGGTTTGTCTCTAGTCTTCCCTTCCCACCCCAAGGGGAAAGGAGCACAAGCAGCTCCCACCTCTGCCACCATGGGAACCAGAAACCAGGACTGGCACCTTCCTGGGAAGATTTTTTTAAAGATTTTATTTATTTTATTTTTAGACAGAGGCAAAGGGAGGGAGAGAAACATTGTTGTGTGGTTGCCTCTTGCGCACCCGCCACTGGAGAGCTGGCGCACAACCTAGGCATGTGCCCTGACTGGGAATCAAACTGGCGACCCTTTGGTTTGCAGGACGGAGCTCACAGTCTGGCCCTCAGTCCACTGAGCCACACCAGCCAGGGCCTTCCTGGGGAAGTATTAACAACCTCTTTCTAGTAATAATGAAAACTGCTTTCCACCCCCTGATAACTTTTCTTCATGGAAAGTTAGGAAGTGACAAAATCACCATCAAGATAGTCCATGAACAGCCTTTAGAACCAAGGAGTAGTACTACATACAATTTTTGATTAAACGACACTGTATAAGTCAGAGGTGTATAAATAATAACTTGAAAATTCATGGAAACATTCACACTAAAGCAGACATTTGAGAGAAAACCAGACTGAAGCAGCGAGGGCTGTTTCTGGACAGCTGACGGACCCAGTTTAAGTCAGAATCACCATTTGTCGGGTGGCTCACCAAACTGAAACTAGAATTTCAACCAACTTATTAAGACAGTATAGGCTAGTGGCTGAGGCATTGAACCATTTTTCCAGTCTCCCTAGGTTTAAGTCCCAGCAGCGTGGCTTTCCTTGTATGTGACCTGGATCAAGTTTCCTAACTGCTCCGTGACTTGGTTTCTTCCTCCTCTATCGTAGAGTTGTTAATACTTCTGAAGTTCCTAGCATGGTATCTAGCATATAGTAAGTGCTCAAAAACCATTGCATATAACTAAGTTTGCTTTAACACTGTACTGGTTGAAGCATAAATAGTGATAAATACAGTGAGTCCTCACTTAACATCATCAACATACAGATTCTTGGAAACCACAACTTTAAGTGAAATGACATATAATTGAACCAATTCACCACAGGCTAATTCATATGAACAAGAGTTAAGTTTCTACAGCTTATTTGTGGTCACAAAATGATCACCACACTTCTAAATAAAGATCCAAAACATTTCTAATATTAAACACTAAATAAAATAAATGCAAGCTATATACATATTTAAGAAAGATGACTAAGAACAAGTATTAAAATTCTCTTTCACCCCGCTTACTGCAGTTCAGGGTCGTGTGTGGCCAGAGCCTGTCCCAGCATCTCAGGGCACAAGGCTGTCCCCATCTCGAACAGGGTGCGCTTCCATCAGAGAGCCACTCGCCCCCAGTCAGACTGGGACAGTTCACCTCACGTGCCCAGAGGGCTGTGGGAGAAAACCCACACAGACATGAGAACAGGAAAACTCCACGTCAACAGTGGCCCTGGCCAGGAATCAATTTTTTTTCTCCTCAATCTTTTATGAAACTATGTTGAGTAAAACCAACCTTATTCAAAAACCTGCTATATTCCAGTAGACTCTGACCCAACCTCCCGGTGACCCTGACAATTTATCTAGAAATCTAGCAAATCTTCTGCGACACAGGGTAACATTTAGAGCAAATTAATTCCTTGAACATGAGAATTTGGAGGAGGGAAGCACTGTCAGGGATTACTCTGCAGTCGTTCCCCCCCCCCCCCCGGCCCCCGCCTGAAGACATGTGTGACTCCTGTGGGCAGGCGCTGCGTATGGACTCATGCGATGCCAAACTTTTTTTGGGAGGATTTTGCGACCTGGTGACTTGGGTTGAAGGCAGGGGAGGCATCTTAACAGCTTTATCAGATAGACTGGTGAGGGGTCTTCTAATTCAGAATTTCCTCCCCTTCTGAAAACTGCCTACATTTTTTCCTAGCCATTACTCTGATGAGCTTCCAAGTTTGAGATTTACCTGTTATTTCTTTTGAATTATAAAACTTAAAGCATTCCTGTCAGATCATGTTTGAACCACACACATAGACACAAACAATAAAAACAGTCAATCCATATAATTAAATGTTGTTATTAATACTAAACTAAGCTGTGTTCTTTTATATTTTTGAAGAAATTTTCCATTTAACATAAACTATACCCTTAGCAGAAAAATCCTCACCATTTGAAATGAACAGATAGTCTCTTAAAGAAAAAAATTGATTTCAAGTTAAAATGACTTTCCATATTTTGACTTCCTGCACTTTATGTCCTCACTGCCTCAAATTTTCTTCCAATCAGGACTTGCACTTTGCCCTGCAACAGCTTCCTGCATAACACCTGTCCCAGTCAGTCTTGAAAAGCAAGGCTGATTTTTTTTCATTTTGCTATTTTAAGCTACAACTGGCCACCAGTCATATTTATGAAACTTCACCTTAAAGTTTTCCACGCTGTACCCGGCAAGGCAGCTGAAGAACACAGAGGTCACATCTTGACATCTGCCTTAGTATTAAACACAGCGTCCTGGAATTTACTTTTTGCCTGGTTGCTTTTTGAACCTGTTATTGCTGGTTTACCCTCATCTTTACTGAGTCATCGTTAAAGATAGCTTTATAAATAGTAGGATAAATGGATGTGTATATTAGAATATATACAGAATAAATGTATATTCAGTAGAAAAATTTCCTCATCTTCTTGCATGTCACTGTCTTTCAGAATTGGGAATTAAATCCACTGACCCAAGAGAATTGAAATGATTCCAAAATTCTTAACACATTCATGAGCAAAGTCTAATCAGAGTTTATAATATTCACAGCATTTCCTTAATCTCCATGCTGTTGTGATGTTAAAAGATCATCTCAATTATTTGCTGAGGTATAAGAGTTTCCTACATTATATATTCTGAGTTCACCAGGATCGAGAAGTTACCTGGGTTAGTACTCTCCTAATTTACAACATAATTATTCTGAAGAAAGCACAGGTAGTTACAAAAATTGGATGTTTTTCTGATACTGTGGAATCATGCAGTATGAGAATACCATTTTAAAGAAGTTGATGGGAAATTATTATTTTTAAACAAAGGCCTGTGGCTTTTATGGGTATGTAGAGAAAGGGGCATGAGTTCTGCAGTGAGCAGACTAAAGTTTAATTCTACTTCTAATTTGTTCATACTTGCTGAGTAATCTTGGGTAATACACCACCTCAGCTCTGTAAAATGGAACTAATAATCACTTATGAGGAATTTTTAAAAATAATCTTCAAAGGAATCTTAGCTCACTGCCTGACATACAAAGACCTGCAGTAAATGGGGTTTTTTCCCCCTTTTGTTTACTTGGGGTTTAGGAACTAGGTAGTGTTTTTCTTCTTCCTAATAATCCCTATGTCGAGGGCATCCATTTTTACTTCATCCTTTCCCTCACCCCTATTTTCTAATCACCCTGTTTGTCTTTAAATGCAGTGAATTAGTCCGTTTACCATACCCATGTCACCTGGAAAAGTGCCAGAAGAGAGCAGGTTTTCATTAAACCTTGGTTGCCTGAATTAATTGGGCAGTCCCTACATGGGGGTGCACAGTGGCGAACAAGGGAGGGGCCCTGCCACTGTGGAACTCCATCTGGGGGGAACAGCAGCAGTCGCCCAAAATGGCATTAAAGCGTGAAGTATTAAAATGGGGGGAAATGGCACACACACACTCTGACCTCTGCCAGGGAGGAGATCTCCTTCAAGGATGTGTGACCCAGGTCCTAGACCCTGCAAGATGACCACAGTGGCAGTTCCAGTCTCACTCAGTAACCCCATCCACCAAAACTACTATAGTAAGCATTTGAGGACTAACAGTTTCAATGTTAGTTTTCTCATCTTTAAGAACAAGACTATACCTCCCCACCTAAGTCATGAGGCCAGCTTTAGAATGCTCTTAATGCTATTTAAGAATAAGACACAACTTTAATGGTAACTACCAAGATTGAGTCTTTGTACAAAGGTGGCTGAGCTTGGGCAGATCTGAAAAGGTGGGTCGTATAAGGCCGGTTTGTTTTTTAAACAAGTCAGTAAATTTTGGATACCTTGGGCAGGGTGAGATATATACAGTAGTATTTATCAAAATAGGATTCTGTGATTTCTTAAGTATAACTTCACTTTTAAAATGTTAGAGTTATAAACAGAGAAACAAAAAAATTAGACCTGTAAAATGATTTGTGGAAGCGTACAACTTCCCACTTGCAGTTTTTCCGATAAGGAAGGGGTAATGTCCAAAAAGATGACCAGAGAAAGCAAGAATCAGAGAACTTCATTTTGAGTTTTCCTGAAATTTCTCCCGGGAGGTCTCATTGTCTACAGATTTCACTCCCACATTCTCACTGCCTTTACAAGGCATTAATTCTTCCTCATCCACATTGCTCCTTAACAAAAAATGCATATCTACTCCATGCCAGTTCCGAAGCGTGTTGGGTGAAATGTGTCTCACCCAGACTGTTGCCCAATGTTTTGAGGCAAACATAGCAGATTATTTTTAAGTCATATTTTAGATTTAATTAAAACTAGATTCATTTTTAAGTGAAAGTTCGAGATGGCTTCATCTAAAAATGACATTGCTATTTTTAGTTTATACCTTTTGTAACCACTATCATTCCTCCCTTATTTACTGCAACTGTGTTGGCTTTTTTATATTTTTAGTAATTGCTTTTTTATGAGTTAATTTAGGGACCGATATTAAAATGTTAAAGTTATGCTGGTTGTGTTCTGTTCTATTTCTAGGGCCCTAATTCAGTCATGATCGTCCTTGTCATGCTGTTGAATATTGGATTGGCCATTCTCTTTGTTCACTTTCTAACTTGACTGGAGTTAGGAAAGGTAAGAACAGTCTTAATCTCTATATAAAAATCATGAAATATAACATTCTCTTCCCATATTCCAATTCACATTTTTTTAACAACTACATATTGTCCTTCACTTTAATTTTGGCTGTGCCTGAATGTGATTCAACATAGTTACTCAATGATACAACTGTTTTGACCCTACGATGAAGTCATGACAACTAGTGGTGTTAGCCCACAGTTCTCCGCAGTGGTGTCATCAGCCCTTTAAATGGCACACCCCAGTCAGATGCAGACACAGGGAAGGAGGTTCGGAATTAGGATGGGCTCACGAGAGAAACGGAAAATGCAGCCAGAGTACCCGTTCAGTTCCCTTGCGAGTGCTTTATGGCTTTGGGGTCCTCTGGGAGCCGAAGCAAGCAGCCGTGTTGGAGCACAAAACTTAACAGTCATTCTTTTAAAAAATCTGCTGAAGCAGGCTCATCCGGCAAAGTTCTTGGCATTGACTACTCCATCTGTCCTAGCTGAGTGTGACTAAACTGGAAATGTATGGAGCTGCGTTTTTTTTGTTGTTGATGGAAGTCAACAGCTGCCTTACTATTTTACCATCTGACGTTTTCAGTAGGGAGCTGGGGAAACAAACGAGCCCGAGGAATGCGGCCGGAGGATTGTGTTGCTGCGCCACTTTTCCAACATTCACTCCTGTCTCATTACAAGAACGAGGTAGCAGCATCACTCAGCAGTCTTATGCCATGACCTGCTGCTTTAACGTCTCCCGGAACATTCTGGGAGAAAATGTTGTGTTTGCTTGTGCACGACTATTTTTGCTGTTTATTTAAATATGATGTATGGTCACCTACCATGTGCAGTCCTGGCCAGATGAAACACACATGTTGCATCTCAAGGAAAAGAAACAACAAAATTCTAGAGAAATGTGTTGATTTTGACAGCAATACATCATTTTTATGTCATTTAGTCTTCCTAAACCTTTGGTGAAAGGCTGTTTATCTTAAAAATTTAGCAATTTGAAAGCATTATACCTTCCTAAGAAATAATTTAATTTTAAATATTTTTAATGTTACTAAATGAATTATTTATGCACTTACAAGGTGCTCAACTTTAAAGGCTGAAAGACAACAGAATTCTAAGAAGTCAGAATGTTGCATGGGTTGCAGTAATCGGTGTTTAAAAGATTCAGTTTCATTGCTGACGTACTTTACAACCAAATAAAATCTTGTCAGTGGCTATGTTAATTCCCATGAAACTTAAGCAAGATGCTATTAATAACTGCTCTTCTCTTTCTTTTTTTTTCCCAACTGAATATTTTGTTGAATACATTCAGGTAGAGCATAAAGCTTTGTGAAATCACTGCTTCTCAATTTTATGCCTTATGTGTTGTTTTTCAAAGTCCTTTTAAAATTTTATTTCACATCTTAAAGGCTTAGACATTTTTGTTTGAGTATTTGTCCTTCACAGTCCTTTGTTATTCTGACATAATCAGATTTTTTGCTGTTTTATAATTAATCCTTTATTACTCAGAAGCATGCTTACTTCAAGAAACTACATGGTCTTTCTAAAAGTAACTATTTGAAAAGAAATTGGGGAGGAAAGGTTTCTATTAAATCTCTATGAAACATTACATTGTGGAGAGGGAGATATTCCTAAATAGTTTCACAATCTGCATGGTTTAATCCAATTCTTTTTGCCTTGCTACCTTTTCAATGCAGAAGAAGCAATTCACATGTTAGCACAGGTGTGGCCTGGACGCTCTGTCACCTGCCAGGTAGTAACCCAGTGGTGTTTTTTGCAGAAGTACAATATGTTGAGAATCCTGGGTGTGACCAATGTGGAATAAAGAAGAAAGCAGAAAGAGAGCAAATGAAAATTACAACTTGTATATTTATTTTTTACATTTTGCTTTGACTTTTAAATTTAAGAAGTACATTTTTACCCAAGAAACGTTTGAGTTCCTCTGTCAGTCTCAATACTGACACTTCTCCTTCCTAATCCCATAGCTCTTTACGCTGGGAAAGCTGATTTTTTAAAGAAAAAACAAAATACTTAATCTTATTAAGTGTTTATTTAAAATATGTCATGCTTTGAAATAATGGATAACAGATAACTAAAGGATATGTTTATACAGTGAGCATGTTGGTTCCATTTATAAATATATGTATGATTTATAAGCTTTTTTAAAACAAAGCCAAAATTGTTGGTATTTTTCTAAAATGTGCACAGCTGTATTTTACATGAAAGGCTCTTTCTAATGGGTTGTTATACTGTACTCTACATTTTGGACAGCACATGAGGTCTGCCAATGTACTTAATAAAACATGACTTGTTTATTTAAAGTTTCTTGCTGTGAAAAAGAACTCCCTACCTGTGAGTTCCTTTATTTATAATTCTTGAAACCAAAATGTATAATGTACAGTTTTCACAACTGTATCTGCTCTAATAAAAAGAGTTGGTTATTTAAAAAGTTTCAGGTGTGTTTCCTGTGTGAGTAAATTACTCTCTGCGGTTACGTAGAATTTTTGGTGGTGGTGGTAGTATTGAAAGAAAGACCTGCTGAAAAATTAACAGGGGGGGAGGGATGGTCTTGCAAGAAGCCACATCGCAGAATGTAGTTGTACCACACCATGATTTCTTTCTACGTTTCTTTCATTCTGGGCCTTCCAAATGATTTTGCAAAATAAGATTCCCTGCTCTGAAGGCTCTTGCCTTCTTCATTAATTGGATTAGCGACTTATTCAGGATTTCAAGTCAGCTCCTATTTTTTAAGGAAAACTCAAATTTGGAATAAATTTTTATTTGCATGGGTACTTTTCAATTAATTTAAATTTTTTGACCATTGAGCCCCAAATAAATTAATGTGTTGCGAGAGCCCCTGCTGCTTGAGCACACTTCTGGAAGCATGCAGCCACTGGGCTCCCTTTGAAGCCACCCTTGGTACTGGTCTAGGCAAGCCGCCTGGGAGGTGTGATAAAAGGACCTGTCCTAGAACAGCTTCCCAGGGAGCTGCTGGAGCACTTACATATTCCCAGATTTGTCACTACTATTGAGGGCTAACCTATTGGAGACCTCCATATAAATAACGCACAAAGTCTTCACCACTAGGTACTAACAGACTTACCAATTCAAATGGTTAATCTAGCAAATCCTAAAAAAAACACAACACAGAACAGCATGTTTGGGAGCATGCAGGAAAAGCACAGGGTTCTAGAAAGACGACTGATTCCAGGTTCAGGTTCAAACCACATGTGTTAATGGTTGAGGCCAAAGCTCGGAAGAAGACTATGTGGTTGAGAAAAATCTGGAAAATATTCTGCATGCTCATTTAATGCAATACACATTTTCAAGAGTTATGGTGAGCAGGGTCCCCAGGCTCACACTCAGTGCACCTCGCTGTCCTCTTCTCATGTTTTGGGATGTTGTGCAGCCTCGTGTTTCCAACTTCATACGTAGTTGTAGATGTGGCGTAGTCTGCCTATCTGTGGGAATGGTTCACGAGGCTGTGTTTGATTGACTATCCTAGGTTTGCGAAATATGTCCAACATTTCATTCTTACTTTGAAAGTACTGAAAAGTACTTTAGTATTCCCTAACAGCTTCTATAGGGGTCAGAATAATAGTAGAACAAAATAACAAAATAATTTAAGGAATACTAATGAATAGTGTGACTGTGGATAAATTTCTCACTAGGCCCTGATTGACTGTCGATTCTCCCCTAATCTAATCCCCTGGGTTCTCTGTAAAATGGGTGTAATCATATCACTACCCTCACAGGCCAATTGTGAGGATGAAATGAGCTCACTTACATTAAGTGCTTAATACAGTACCTGGCACATAGTAACTGTTTTGTATGTATTAACTTTTACTAATAGATGGAACTAAGAAAAAAATATTAAATGTCTATAAGTGTCTCAAACGAGTTAAAAAAATAAAGTGAGATCCCACTAAAGGTCTCTTTATAAGGGTTAATTATGCCACAGGTCATGTGATATTCTTTTTTCAGTGGTGATCAGTGAGTCTTTCTCGCTGTAAAAACCAAATGCCACATTTACAAACATCCTTCTTGGCACTTTCACATCAATGTCTCATTAAATTCATACAAAACTCCTATGGAAGATTTTCTGCAATTAAATGATTTGCCCAAGGTCTTGTAAACAAAACATTAAAATTTGTAATTTTGATCTGACTCTACATATTGTGCTTTTTCAATGACATATTTCACAGAACTAGAACAAATATTTCAAAAATTTATATGGAACCACAAAAGGCCCCGCATAAGCAACAGCAGTCCTGAGAAAGAAGAACAAAGTTGGAGGAATCATGCTACCTAATATTAAGCTATGGTATAAGGCCATTTTACTGGCATAAAATAGACACATAGATCAATGGAACAGAACAAGAATAGAGAGCCAAGAAATAAACCCATACCTTTATAGTCAATGAATATTCAACAGAGGAAGCAAGCACACACAATGGCTAAAGTAGTTTATTAGAGAAATGGTCTTGGGAAAATGGACAGATATGTGCAGAGCAATGAAACTACACCACCTTCTTACACCACACACAAGAATAAATTCAGAATGGATCAGAGACTTAAATGTTAGACCTGAACCCATAAAAATCCTGGTAGAAAACAAGCAGTAAAATATCAGACATCTTTCGTATAAATATTTTTGTTGATATATTTCCTAGGGCAAAGGAAACAAAGGAAAAATAAACAACTGGAACTACCTCAAATTAAAAACTTTGCACAGCTAAAGAAACCATCAAGAAAATAAAAAGGGAACCCAGTGTATGGGAGAACATATTTGCTAATGATGCATCTAACAAGGGGTTAATTTCCAAAATAATATAAAGAATTGATACAACAACACTAGGAAGGCAATCCAATTAAAAAATCGGCAAAAGAACCTGAATAGACACTTCTCCATACAACACATACAGATGGCCAATAGACATATGAAAAGATGCTCAACTTCTCTAATCATCAGAGAAATGCAAATTAAAAATCACAGTGAGATACCATCTCACACAGTCAGAATGGCTATCATCAATAAGTCAACAAACAGGTGCTGGTGAGGAGTGGAGAAAGGGGAATCCTTTTGCACTGTTGGTGGGAATGCAGAATGGTGCAGCCACTGTGGAAAACAGTATGGAGATACCTCAGAGTGTTAAAAAGGAACACCTTTTGACCTAGCAATCCCACTTCTGGGAATATATCCAAAGGAACCCAAAACACTAATCCAAAAGAACATAAGCACCCCTATATTCATTGCAACATTATTTATAATCACCAAGTTATGGAAGCAGCCCAAATGTCCATCAGTAGATAGATAAAACAACTATGGGATTCAGAGAAGGAAGATGGCGACAGAGTAGGAGGGAGCAGATTTCATTTCTCCCTACACACAGGAGAAAAACCTAGCCAATGAAGGAATAAACAGCCAATGGTACCCCAGCGTGTATCAAAATAAGAGACCAAAAATTGTAGCGGACACTGAAAAACCAGATGGTAAGGAGAGTGCTTCAGGACAAGAAGGTCCCAGGGACCAGGGCAGCTGTAACCCAGACCCAGACTCCTTGGGAGCAGTGGGCCTGCCACAGAGTCCTTGGGAGAGAACAGGGTCAACTGCTCCCTCCCTCCCTAGCCAAACAAGGTATAAGTATCACTGGGAGAGACCTGGTTGCTTGAAGTCACAGAAAGGGGAATAAGGGCAAAGAAGCAAACACAGAGGGGGCCGTGATCACCCATAGAGTCTGTGGTCACCATCTTGGGAGAGTTGCACAGTGACTCGCACTGACCCTGATAGTCACTGGTCTGGCTGGAGAGTTGGGTGGTATGAAGTGGCAGGCTTGAGTAGGAGGACTTTCTTGAAAAGGAAAACTGAGAAATTCTGCAACAGCCACTTGGCCTACTCCCCTCCCACCCGGGCAGCAGTCCTGAGGGTGCCTGGAAGGTTGCACAGAAGGCCTCAGGAAAGGCCCTGCATACCCCCACAGCACTGGGAAGGGACCGAGACAGCCTGGCCAAGCAGGAGTACACAAGCCCATACCCCAGCCCACAGTGGTAAACACAGGGAAAGAGCCTCTGAGGCTGACCCCTGATCCCTCTGACACCTGATCCCACACCCAAGGTATCCAAGAGAGGTGCCAGACTAGCTTTAGGGAGAGTGTGCCTGAGAATGGCTGAGTACACACTGGAAAGGGAGAAAAGCCACACCAGTCTCCCATCAGCCTACTGCAGCCAGCAAGACCAGAAAAACCGGTTTGGTCAGATTGAAACCAACAAAAGGTATATTTTTTAAGTAATCTTCTACTTTTTAAATTTTTATTATTGTTTTATCTTTCAATACCTTTTTCCTCGCTTTCCTTCTTCCTTGTTTTATTCCTTCTTCCTTTCTTTCTAATTTTATCTCTTCCTCCCTTCTCCTGCTTTTTTTTTAATACCCACAAGGGAGACAAAAAAAAAAACGAACTGTGAAAGGACCAGAATTGGACCCAACAGGGGGCATCCCAACAATCAAGACAGTGAGACAAATTTTACTTTGCTGTTGCAGAGAAACTGCAAGTTACTGCATATTTGTATTATTAATTTTTTCATTACTATTACATCTCTTATTTTAATAGTATTTTTGTATTCCTCTTCTTTCTGTATAGTCTTCCTTGCTTGGATGGTTATCATTTGAAAGGTTTCCCCTCTTCTCTCTTTCATAGTGTATTGCTAATTTACTGTCCTTCACATCACTTGTGTTCCTTTAACACATGACTCAAAGTCTTATGTCCCCTATTCATGTTATCCAGATCACATAGATTCTGTCAGATGATTGTTGCTCTAATATTACTGTAAATAATAGCTGTTCCATACAATTGTAAATACCTCGCAACACCCCTCCCAGATCTTAGCCCACTTCTCACAGTTTCCTGAACTCTATTACTATAGTGGTTAACTCTATTCTCTCACACACTACACCTATTTTCTATCCTTTACTCGCACCTTACCTCAGAATCTGACCTTCCACAACATCACTGCTTTGTAGACCCAACACACAATTTTTCCCTCCCCAACAAGAGTCTTATCTTCCTTCCATCCTTTCTAGAAAGTGGCTAGTTGGGTGGAAGATCATGGTTAACACTATACATAGCCAAAGGATCTCCTATCTCTCCTCTACCAGCTGGTACTATAAATATCATAGAATACTCTTTTGCTGTTTTAAACCATTTTGCCTTCCCCTCCCACTGATTACACACAAAAAAAGAGTAGGTGGAAGCAGTAAACAGCAGGATACCCACTGGAAGAGGAAACCCAACAACAAAGGAACCACCAACAGATAACAATAGAAGGTGAAGGAGGGAGTGGAAACCACACAAACCTCAGTCCAGGATCTATCTGGAAATACAACTAAATAGTGGATAAATTACCCAGTACAGACAACTGAACAAGAGCAAAAGAGAATCCTCAAAA